TTTGGCTGAGCTGTGCAGCTTATGGGGTCTTAGTTCCCCAACCAGGGGTTGAACCCAGGGACACTGGCAGTGAAAGCACCAAGTCCTAACCACTGGACTGCCAGGGAAGTCCCCAGAAGTTATTAATTTTAATGTAGTTGAATGTTTAGATCTTTTCTTAATTGGTTTGTGCTTTTATATCTTGTTGGAAGTAATCCTTCCCTACCTTATGTATTTTTTTAACATCTTTATTGAAGTATAATTGCTTTACAATGGTGTGTTAGTTTCTGCTTTACAACAAAGTGCATCAGCTATACATATACATATATCCCCATATCTCCTCCCTCTTGCGTCTCCCTCCCACCCTCCCTACCCCACCCCTCTAGGTGGTCACAAAGCACCGAGCTGATATCCCTGTGCTATGTGGCTGCTTCCCATTAGCTATTTTACATTTGGTAGTGTATATATGTCCATGCCACTCTCTCACTTCGTCCCAGCTTACCCTTCCCCCTCCCTGTGTTCTCAGGTCCATTCTATACATCTGTGTCTTTATTCCTGTCCTGACCCTATGTTCTTCAGAAACATTTTTTTTTTCTTTTTTAGATTCCATATATATGTGTTAGTATACGGTATTTGTTTTTCTCTTTCTGACTTACTTCACTCTGTATGACAGACTCTAAGTCCATCCACCTTACTACAAATAACTCAATTTTGTTTCTTTTTATGGCTGAGTAATATTCCATTGTATATATGTGCCACATCTTCTTTATCTATTCATCTGTCAATGCACACTTAGGTTGCTTCCATGTCCTGGCGATTGTAAATAGTGCTGCAATGAACATTGTGGTACGTGCCTCTTTTTGAATTACGGTTTTCTTAGGGTATATGCCCAGTAGTGGGATTGCTGGGTCGTATGGTAGTTCTGTTTTTAGTTTTTTAAGGAACCTTCATACTGTTCTCCATAGTGGCTGTATCAGTTTACATTCCCACCAACAGTGCAAGAGGGTTCCCTTTTCTCCACACCCTCTCCAGCATTTATTGTTTGTAGATTTTTTGATGATGGCCATTCTGACTGGTGTGAAGTGATTCCTCATTGTGGTTTTGATTTGCATTTCTCTAATGATCAGTGATGTTGAGCATCCTTTCATGTGTTTGTTGGCCATCTGTATATCTTCTTTGGAGAAATGTCTGTTTAGGTCTTCTTCGCATTTTTGGATTGGGTCGTTTGTTTTTTTGATATTGATGTGCATGAGCTGCTTGTATATTTTAGAGATTAATCCTTTGTCAGTTGCTTCGTTTGCAAATATTTTCTCCCATTCTGAGGGTTGTCTTTTCGTCTTGCTTAAGGTTTCCTTTGCTGTGCAAAAGCTTTTAAGTTTCATTAGGTCCCATTTGTTTATTTTTGTTTTTATTTCCATTTCTCTAGGAGGTGAGTCAAAAAGGATCTTTGTGTGATTTATGTCATAGAGTGTTCTGCCTATGTTTTCCTTTAAGAGTTTTATAGTGTCTGGCCTTATATTTAGGTCTTTAATCCATTTTGAGTTTATTTTTGTGTATGGTGTTAGGGAGTGTTCTAATTTCATTCTTTTACATGTAGTTGTCCAGTTTCTCAGCACCACTTATTGAAGAGACTGTCTTTTCTCCATTTTATATTCTTGCCTCCTTTATCAAAAATAAGGTGACCATATGTGCGTGGGTTTATCTCTGGGCTTTCTGTCCTGTTCCATTGATCTATATTTCTATTTTTGTGCTAGTACCATACAGTCTTGATTACTGTAGCTTCGTAGTATAGTCTGAAGCCCAGGAGTCTGATTCCTCCAGCTCCGTTTTTCTTTCTCAAGATTGCTTTGGCTATTCGGGGTCTTTTGTGTTTCTATACAAATTGTGAAATTTTTTTTTATACGGTACGTGGGCCTCTCACTGTTGTGGCCTCTCCCGGCTCCAGATGCGCAGGCTCAGCGGCCATGGCTCATGGGCCCAGGCGCTCCGCGGCATGTGGGATCTTCCCGGACTGGGGCACGAACCCATGTCCCCTGCATCGGCAGGCGGACTCTCAACCACTGCGCCACCAGGGAAGCCCCAAATTGTGAAATTTTTTGTTCTAGTTCTGTGAAAAATGCCATTGGTAGTTTGTTAAGGATTGCATTGAATCTGTAGATTGCTTTGGGTAGTTTAGTCATTTTCACAATGTTGATTCTTCCAATCCAAGAACATGGTATATCTCTCCATCTGTTGGTATTATCTTTAATTTCTTTCATCAGTGTCTTATAGTTATCTGCATACAGGTCTTTTGTCTCCTTAGGTAGATTTATTCCTAGGTATTTTATTCTTTTTGTTGCAGTGGTAAATGGGAGTGTTTCCTTAACTTCTCTTTCAGATTTTTCATCATTAGTGTGTGGGAGTGCAAGAGATTTCTGTGCATTAATTTTGTATCTTGCTACTTTACCAACTTCATTGATTAGCTCTAGTAGTTTTCTGGTAGCATCTTTAGGATTCTCTATGTATAGTGTATTTTTTAAAGTTTTTAAAATTTGCTCTTTCCATTTTAATATTCAGTCTATTTTAATTTGTTTTCATTTTCCTGATGAAGGTTTTTTTCTTGAAGTCTATTTTGTCTCAGTGCTAATACTGCTACTTTTTCTTTTTGCTTCTGTTTTCCTGCTGTATCTGTTCTCATCCTTTTCCTTTGTTTTCCTTTGACCGTATGTTTTAGATGTTTCTTTATACAGATAGCACATATCTAGATTTAAAAAAAATCCATTCTTATAATCTTTCAACCAGAGAATTTCATTTTTTCTCCTTCTTTTCTTACTTTAATCTTCCTTAAGTGAGTACCCAGATTTTTTTTGTTAATACATTTATTCATTTATTTATTTATTTTTGGATGCGTTGGGTCTGTGTTGCCGCACACAGGCTTTTTCTAGCCATGGAGAGCGGGGGCTACTCTTCGTTGTGGTGTGTGGGCTTCTTATTGCGGTGGCTTCTCTTGTTGCAGAGTACGGGCTCTAGGCATGCGGGCTTCAGTAGTTGTGACTCGAGGGTTCTAGAGCGCAGGCTCAGTAGTTGTGGCTCACGGGCTTAGTTCCTCCGTGGCATGTGGGCTCTTCCCGGACCAGGGATCAAACCTGTGTCCCCTGCATTGGCAGGTGGATTCTTAACCACTGTGCCACCAGGGAAGTTCCTTAGCTATTCTTAACATTAGAAGTCTTTTTTTCCCCAGAGCCCTCTTCCTCACCCCAGATAGGTTCTAGAAAGCTTGTTAACACACCTGCTAATCAGCAGCATGAACCTGCCAGCCCAGCATCTTCAGAGGGTCAGAGCTTTCTCTGTATTCTGATATCTGCATACAGATAGCATATATCTAGATTAAAAAAAAATCCATTCTGATAATCTGCCTTTTAACTAGAGAATTTCATTTTTTTCTTCTTTTCTTACTTTAATCTTCCTTAAGTGAGTATCCAGATTCTTAAAAATAATAGATATTTAACTTAAAGTTCAAACGTAAACCTGAATAATACAGGGATCATCGAATGTTTTGTTACCCTTTGCTTTCTGCCAATTCATGCCGTTCAGTTTTTTAGTTTTTGTGTTTCTCAGTTCAGCACCACAAATTATACTTTGTTGTATTCAGTAAGTAGATGCTTATAATATATGTCCATATTTTACCAATTCCTTTGCTTGTTCCACTCCTTCCTTCTGGGGTTGTTTTCCTTTCTTCTAATGTAAATATGTCCATTAAAAGTTTATTTAGGGATTCTAAAAAGTCAAATTTTATTTGTCTGAAAGCCTCTTAAAATTTGCTATTGTTCGTGAACGTTAGTTTTGATTCGTGTAAGAGTTCAGATTGGGGGTTGGCAAACTGTTTTTTAAGGGGCCAATAGTAAATAGTTTGAGCTTCATGGGCCATATATTGTCTGTCACAAGTAAATCAACTCTGCATTTGTAGAGCGGAAGCAACTATAGGCAACATGTAAACACGTGAGTGTGACTGTTGTGATAAAATTTTGGTTGTAGACACTGAAGTTTGAATTTTATATAATTTTCATGTGTTATAAAATATTGTTAAAATTTTTCTTAACCATGAAAAATATAAAAATTATTCTTAGCTTGTGGACCACATAAACATAGGCTGTATCTGACCTGTGAGCCATAGTTTGGTGATCTCATGTCTAGGTTAATATTCGTTTTACTTAGTACTTTACTCTTGGGGATAGTTATTCTGATAATGTCATATGATATTATCTTCCATTTTTAATTGTTGAGAAGTCAGCTGTCAATCTAACTGTCCTTTCGTTGCAGGTAATCTGGTGATATTATTTTTCTTTGGTTATTTTTAAGAACTTATTATTGTCCCTGTGCATGTTCCTGTGATGTATCTAAAGTGTGGATTTATTTTCATTTAACTTGGTTAGAATTGGTTGAGCATCCAGAATCTAAAGATTAGTGTGTCTCGTATACTTCTGGAAATGTTCAGCCATTATTTTTGCTTATATCATACCTTATCATATATAACATGGGAGGTAAATAAAAGACAAATTCATTTGAAGATTTTCTGTGAAGTTATAGTACAGTATAGTATCTATAATATTAAATAATGACCCTTTTAAAATACTCCCTCCTAGAACTGAGTGCTAGAGCATCTCTGTGTAGATGACCTCATAAGCTTCCTCTTATCAGAATTATCACTTTTTTGGTTGGCTGCTAAGAAGTATAGCATTAAGTATAATACTAATATGTTGGACATTAATTTGTATACATTATATCATGCATTATAATTAAAATAAGTATATACTGTAAGTAATTATATATTATAAATATGAATTATACATTATTAATAGTTTGGACAGCACAAGTATGACCTGACATTTGTTTTTTAAACTATATTCAAAATAATTCTTTGTACATGTATGCAGGTAATGGATTATTTGCATGATTGGAGAGCTATTGATGATTGTTATTTTAATGCTTCTTTAAGCTAGCAAGATTTATGGTGGTGTTTTAACAGACTTCTTTCATTTCAGAGAACTCAGTTTCCTGCATCTGCTGAATCTCTAAAACCCCGGCTGAAAAAAGGTCTGTATATAATTTCATTTTGTGTGTTTATTTGCACAATTTCTCCGTCTTATTGATTCTTCTATCCTGTATCCACTAGAGCTTTTACAAATATGATTGTTGGGAAAAGCAGTAGTCTGAATGTTCTCCCATATCTAGCTTTTATTTTGTGAAGTTGTTAGATATTACGGGATTGATTTTACCTATAAATATGTTTATTTATTTATTTCATTATGCTGAGTCTTAGTTGCGGCAGACGGGCTCCTTAGTTGTGGCATGCGAACTCTTAGTCGCGGCATGTATGTGGGATCTAGTTCCATGACCGGGGATGGAACCAGGGCCCCTGCATTGGGAGTGTGAAGTGTTATCCACTGTGCCACCAGGGAAGTCCCTACCTGTAAATATGTTTAAATGGGGTTTTATTATTATATAAATGTGTACTAATTTTCTACTTGTGGAAGAACCACTCTAAAGTTCCTATAGTACATATCGGGCCTCAAATAATCTCATATATACATATGTTAAATAAGTGTGAGGTTTTATAAAAATTGAGTCTGGGAAGCCTAACTAGGTGAGGACCTATACTGTAAAGAACTGCCTTTAAAAATATGATACAGCCATAATTCCCTGGCAGTCCAGTGGTTAGGACTCAGTGTTTTCACTGCCGGGGACCCGGGTTCGATTCCCGATTGGGGAACTGATGCTGTGCGGCGCAGCCAAAAAAAATTTTTTTAAATAAAATAAAATCCAATAGAGATATATATATTTTATGTCGAGGAATAGGATTTCTTCGTTTGTTAACCTATGAAGTCTTAGGAGGGTTTGCATCAAGTTGTCAGTGACTATACTGGATGTTCTTCCACGTCTAAAGGACTGGATGTCCTAGCTACTTGCCAGGCATTGGAAAATACCTGAACTTTTTGTTTAGCAGGAGAGACCATCTGTTTTATTATTTATTCATTTGTTTATTATTTGCTAGATGAGGAAACCATGGAAGGGGAGTGACTTGCCCAGGGTCCTGTGTGTTGCTTTTGTTTGCATACCTGAGCACCAGGCTATATGCCCTTTGGCAGCATGTGTTTTCCTGTTGTATGCTAAGAGTTTTAAAGTTGATTTTGTCAATAAAGTGTTTATTTGGGGCATTTCAGTTACACTTTGAATTTATAATACAAGTTGTTGGAAAATATTAACTTTCAGGAATATACTTTCAAAGATTTTTTTAGGAAAACACTGTAAAGAGCAGTACATGTACAATTTAGATTATTTGTGAAATTTGGATGAATTCTGCCTATGTCTAACATCATCGTTAATAATTTAAACACCATTTCTGAACATGAGAATCATCTTGCTGTGGTATCTGTCATTTCATTTCATCACCAGAGTGAATTGGCTAGTCCGGTGGTGGGGCTTGTGGGTATTGTAATCATCTCTCCAGTGTTCTTTCCATAATTCCTCCAGGGTCAAACCCTGTGGTTCAGTTGACTCCCAGTCCAGGAGAGTTGTAATTAGTATACACCAATCAAGAACTGGCCCATGCCCAATTCAAGCTAATGAGATAAAAACTTTACAGCTCTGGGGAGAAGGGGTACATTTGACAAGATGCTATAAAATGTAACAGTGCCGTAATGCCCTTTCCAATCATTTCTTTCTCCCTTCCCCACTGCAGAGCAACCACTGACTTCTAGTATTAAAGTTTAGTTTTTCCTGTTCTTGAACCCCTCATACATGTGAGTACTTAGTGGGTTCCAGGACCAGTGATAGGTATTTGCAATACACAGATAAATAGGGCATGGATTCTGCCCTCAGGGAATTGACAGTCTTCAGGGCATAGAAAATAAAGGCATATCATTATATTGTATACTCCATAGGTCCTTCCTTCTGAAGGTTAAACATTTCCAGTTTCTTCAACTCCTTTCATGTAAAATGTTTAGAACTCTTTTGCCATTATTACTTTGGTTCTGTAGTGAAATTCGTTGGCCCTCTTGGAAGTATTAGAGTTCAGGACTAGGTAGAATATTCCAGGTATTGTGTGAACAGGGCCAAGTGTAATGTCTGGAAGATAAAATCTGTTCATCTGGATGTTTCATTTCTGTTAGTCCAACTCAAGGTTGCATTGCCTTTTGGGCAACCATTTTACACATTTGCAATACCACTATATTGCACAGTGCCAGGGGTATGATTCGTGTAGAACACAAAGACTTCAATATAAATGATGCCTTTGGAATTGTGCAAGGTGGTGACACAGGCATGTAAAATGTCAAGGGTATAACCCGTTCTTATCCTGCCCTAGATTTCAGGCTTCCATGACCCAAGATTTTATCTATTGAATCACATTGATTGAGTTTTGGAATGTTGTGCCAGCCTTGCGTTTCTGGGATAAGCTCCACATGGTCATGGTGTATTAAACTTTTTATATATTGCTGGATTCGGTTTGCTAATGTTTTGTTAAGGATTTTTGCATCTGTGTTTATGAGGGATGTTGGTCTATAGTTTTTTTGTGATGCTTTTGTATGTTTTTGGTATCAGGGCTATGCTGGCCTTAAAACGAGTTGGGAACTATTCCCTCGTCTAGTTTCTGGAAAATTTTGTATAGAATTGGTGTTATTTCTTTTCTTAAATGTTTGCTAGAATGTGACAGTGAAGCTTGTCTGGGTCTGGATTTTTTTGCTGTTGTTGGAAGGTTTTTAAGTATAAACTAAATTTCTTTAATAGATGTGGGACTATTCAGGTTATATATTTCTTTAGAGACTGCTTTGATAATGTTTCTCTTTCAAAGACATTTGTCCATTAAATTTATTGGCATAAAATTCATAATACTCCTTTATTTTCCTTTTAATGTCTAGGATGTATAGTGATGTTCCCTCTGTTGTTCCTGAGTTTAGTAATTCTCTTTTTTCTTGATCAGTCTGGTTAGAGGTTTATACATTTTATTGATCTTTTCCGAGAAACAAGCTTTGATTTTATTGTTTTTTCTCTATTGCTTTTTTTTTTTTTTTTTTTTTTTGTGGTACGCGGGCCTCTCACTGTTGTGGCCTCTCCTGTTGCAGAGCACAGGCTTCGGACGCGCAGGCTCAGCAGCCATGGCTCATGGGCCCAGCCACTCCACGGCATGTGGGATCTTCCCGGACTGGGGCACGAACCTCGCGTCCCCTGCATCGGCAGGCGAACTCTCAACCACTGCGCCACCAGGGAAGCCCCCTCTATTGCTTTTTTTTGTTTCAATTTCATTGATTTTGGCTCTTATCTAATATTTCTTGCATTTAATTTGCTCTTCTTTTTTCAGTTTCTTGAGAAATTTCCTCTGTTCATACTTTGTTGAGAGCTTTTTACCATGAATGGTTGTGAAATTTTATCAAATGCTTTTTCTTCATAAACTGAGATGATCATATGGTTTTTCTTTATTTTTTGTAACACTACCTGATTAATTAATTTTTCACTTTTTAAACAGCTTAATTGAAAAATCACCCATTGCAAGTGTATCATCTCTACCTCACTTTTTAACAGTTGAATTCCATTGTATGATAACTTATATTTAACCCCTCCTCTATTTTTTCCAACTTTTCACTTTATATTTTTAGTTTATTTTTTATCAAGGTAACATTGGTTTATAACATTATATACGTTTCATGTGTGCAACATTATATTTCTACTTCTGTATACACTACAGCGTGCTTACCACCAAAAATTTATTTTTTATCCCTCATCATACAGTTGATCCTGTTTACCCATTTCTTCCTCTGATGCCCCCCTTCCTTCCTCTCTGGTAGCCACGACTTTGTTCTCTGTATCTATGTGTTTGTTTTTGTTTGGCTTAGTTTGTTCATTTATTTTGTTTTTGTTTTGTTTTTTATATTACACATATGAGTGAAATCATGCAGGATTTGTCTTTCTTCGTCTGACTGATTTCACTTAGCATATCCACCCATGTTGTCTTCTTTTATTTAAGATTAATTTATTATTTATTTTATTTATTTTTGGCTGCATTGGGTCTTAGTTGTGGCCCATGGGATCTTCGTTGAGGCGCGTGGGATCTTTCGTTGAGGCATGTGGGCTCTTCCTTGTGGTGCGCGGGCTTCCCTCTAGTTGTGCCATGCAGGTTTTTCTCTTCTCTAGTTGTGGCATGCAGGCTCCAGGGTGCATGGGCTCTGTAGTTGTGGCATGCGGGTTCCAGAGCGCGTGGGCTCTGTATTTTGCAGCATGCAGGCTCTTGTTGAGGTGTGCGAGCTCAGTATTTGTGGCGCGTGGGCCCAGCTGCCTTGTGGCATGTGGCACCCCAGTTCCCTGACCAGGGATTGAACCCGAGTCCCCCGTGTTGTAAGGCGGAGTCTTTACCACTGGACCACCAGGGAAGTCCCCATGTTGTCTTAAATGGCAAGATTTTGTCTTTTCTATGGCTAAGTAGTATTCCATTGTATATATATACCACATCTTATTTATCCATTGATCATCATGTAGTTTCTCGTCATTGATATAGTGAACTACTTTGATCAGTTTGTTTTGTTTTGTTTTATTTTGTTTTGTCCATGCTGCGCAGCATGCAGCAGGGATCTTAGTTCTCCAACCGGGATCAAACTTGTTCCCCCTGCAGTGGAAGCATGGAGCCCTAACCACAGGGCTGCTAGGGAATTCCCCTTTGATCAGTTTTTTTTAATTTAAAAAAAAAATTTTATTTTTTATTTTATTTTTTGGCCACGCAGTGCAACATGTGGGATCTTAATTCCCCAACCAGGGATCGAACCCGCACCCACTGCATTGGAAGAGTGGAGTCCTAACCACTGGACCGCCAGGGAAGTCCCTTGATCAGTTTTTTAATACTGAACCAGCCTTGCATTCTTGTGATAAAGCCAATTCAGATATGATATAGTTTTCTTATTATTTATTATTGGATTTGATTTTCTAAAATTTTGTTAGGAACTTTTACGTCAGTGTTCCTGAAGTATATTGGCATATAGTTTTCTTTTCATATAATATTTTTGCTTGATTTTGGTGTAGGGTAATGCTGACCACCTTATAAATGATTT